CAGCTTCGCAGAGGTGGATCCATACCATGTGGCCATGGACCGCAACACCATCGAGCCAGGCATCCCAGTAGCCTCGGCAAATTGAAGCTTCTGCGGGTATAGATGGCTGTTGTCTTTTCGAACTTAATCGAAGTAGTTTGATTACCTACGACAGCTTTATCCATCCCAGCGGGGTTTCGCAGCGGTAGCAGTCTCAAGCATCCAAAAGGTGCATAAAATGTTTGCATTGCCAGAGCCATGTCTCGTGCCCATCGTCCTGGTACCCTCTGCCCTGGACTCAAGTCTTTGCTGCACTGGCCAAAGGTGCTGCATTTGCCTGGAGACCTTCAGTGCATGTGCATGGTGGCGAGAAGGCTGGACGCGGGTTTGGAATTCCAACAAGGGGTTTTGGCTTTCCTTCGTTTTTGGGAACCCACCCCTTGTCGCATCTTGTGCAAAGTCCTTGCCTGTAGAAGCTTTTGGTAAGGTGTGGCCTTTCAGCCGGCGCTTCTCAACTTCGCCTTCAAAGGGCTCTCCAGGCCTTGCGTGTAGTGCAGTCAGTATAAAATATTATGCTATACTATATTATGTACTATATTATGGGGGAGGCACAGAATTGATGCTGACAGTTAGCGCTGGCTGCTGGCTGCGGGCGTGGTCCTGCACTTCTTGCATGTGGAGGCGCTTCATTCGGGCTCCTCTGTGTGAATGCCTGCAGTCCTGAAATCTGCGATGCGGAGCAAAGCTGAAGACAGTACCAGGGAGCAGGTTTGGCAATGTCAGAAAGGGTTGAGTCCATTTGGCAGTTCTTATGTATGGCATCCTGGTTGTCAGGACTGGATAGAAGTAGTTTCTGAAGGTGAACATACGCAAAGGATGCTAGATGTCAAGATGAAACTTATGCACGGGCATGTACACATGCCGGCCGCTGCACCACCTGTTGAGATGCTTGAGTGCATCTGTGCTTGTGGAGGCACGTTCCAGTCATGCAGCGACATGGCCATATAGTTGCACAATGCTCCCTGCCAGCAGGGCCACCGTGTGCAATGTAGAGAACGCCTGGCACTTACACAGGCTTTGTTGTTCGTGGCATTAGTGGATGACGTGATTGATTGCAAGAGCAACTGTGGCATGCTGAGGTCGTCACATCGATCATCCCTGATGAGCTGCAGGTTTATGCTTGTGAGGCGATCAGAGCCTTGTCATTGTGGTATTTTCTCTATTGCTATCCTGGCTTGTTCCGTAAGTTCCGTACTATGGAGAGAAAGTTCTCCACTCAGCCAACTTTTTCCTATAAGAATCGGTTGCATTAGCCGGTCCATATGCAATCTTGTGTGCGACAGGGCTGCCAAACCCCCAGGAGACCAGCATCGGCTGCGCGATGGGCTTCATTTGTTGAGGCGTGCCAGGCGGCTGTAGCTGTTGCATCTTTTTCGCAGATGGGTCAGTCATGCAGCCAGAGTCCTCGGCCAAGACTTTTTGGATGGCCGCCTGCAGCTTCTGGCCCGAGCGAATCCGCTTCAGGGGCCGCTC